ATATAATACCTCACCCTAGAAGTGCTTTCAAATGGAAAAAGATGCACAAAATATGCACATGACTCATTTCTTAACTTCTTTAAGAACTAAAATCTCATATTTACTTTATTGTTGTGAAAAAAACTCTTCAAGTAACATTAATCTCTCTAGCATGCACATAAATTCTCTCAATATAATATTCGTAATAAGATCATAATTTTCTATGTTGTGAAATAAGAAATATCATAATATATAGTTTAAAATCTTTTGTTCTTCATATTGCATGTCACACTTCAACAAGTTACAATCTTGCAGGTGATTCACATTATATTGTGTGAGATTATTATTAGAAATAAGGTGCCAAAGTGGATTTGCCTTACTGATAACTCCATTGCCGGAGTTGTTCGAACTGGAGTTGCTGGACTCACTTATCCAAGTTACAGCTTCTTAGACCGACGGATGACTCTAGTCTCGGCATGATTTTAGCACATATACTTCTTCATTTCTTTCTTATTTAGGTTTTATTTATATATATATCAATTTTTATTAACTGAAATATAGCATATGTTACTTGATAAATGTTTTCTCAGATTTTTCAAGGTTTCCTTGCCGGGTCTCTTCCATTTGGTAGAAGACCATATGGTTTACCGTCTCTCCGGCCCCGTTTCGGTGCACTATTGGAGAGCTCACTGGGCCCGCCGCTTTCTCAATCGAAAATGGAAACTAGCCTACTGAACGATTCCATCTATCACTTACGTCATTTCTCAAGGTCAGAAATCTCAAATTGAGAATTTAAGCATGAAGTCATCGTTCCGTCATCCAACATGCTTCTATCTAAGTGATTTCATACGGGTCGGTGTGTGATCACCAAAGGTGAAGTAACCCCGCCTTAATTCCCTCATTCAGGACAGATGGAAGCAGGTTATGGATCTGTTCAAGTTGGTCGATCAATCCCTCCTTTCTTTCCCCTGCCTCCGGACACCTTAGAATAGATTTGATTGGAAGGAGGGTGAGGAACGAACACAGTGGTTTGACTGCTGGGATCCCAATCGGCCTGCATCAGCGGAAAATGGAACTATCGAATCACGGGTGACTCGCTTTATCGGGATGGGAAGAATTGCAACATCGGCATTTCTTTCCTTCCCTAAATCGATCCACTAGTAGGTAGCGGTAGGAGAGATCCATTATGGTGGGATGGACCGTTCTCGAATTCCGGCCGGCATTTCTGTCAATCGGCGGAAGACTCACGCATACTGGGAGGGTACGACTTCAAGGGATGGACTCGATCGAACGGCCAACCACTTGCTATTTTTGTAGGAGATGAAATCCAAAAGACCATTATTAGCGTGTAGTAGATTGGCCCGAGTGCGTAATAGGCCAGTCGAGAAGAAAGAAAATCAATANTCAAATGAGCCAAAAGAGTGCCTATGTTGGCATGGAATTTTCCACCCCCTCATAGGCTGCTATTCAATGTTCTCGGAGCCTTCTGAGTGGAATGAAGAATCATATGTTGAAGAGATTAGAACGTTAGGCGCATGTTGGTAGACGAGCATATCTTTGCTCATGTCCTTAATCATGAATCCAGCCATTTTGCTTCTTCTTTGTGATCTCAAGGCTTGAATATTCATGCCATTTGCTTCTCTGACACTGGAAATGTGCTTCTTAATTTATAAATTTTTGCCCGAGAGAGACTTAGATTATGATTTCTATTTAATTGGAATCTTCTATGGTAAATTTTATACTAGCATTATGCACATATAATAATTACTAAAATAATTTACGCAAAAATAATACCTCACCCTAGCGGTGCTTTTAAATGAAAAAAGATGCACAAAATATGCACATACTCATTTGTTAACTTCTTTAATGACTAAAATCTCATATTTACTTTATTGTTGTGAAAAAAACTCATCAAGTAACATTAATCTCTCTAGCATGCACATAAATTCTCTCAATATAATATTCGGAATAAGATCATAATTTTCTATGTTGTGAGATAGGAAATATCAGAATATATAGTTTTAAATCTTTTGTGCTTCATATTGCATGTCAAACTTAAACAAAATCTTGCAGGTGATTCATATTATATTGAGTGAGATTAATGTTGGAAATAAGGAGCCAAAGTGGATATCCCTTACTTGTAACTCCATGGTGCTATGGGGATGTACTAGCACGAAAGCAGTAAACATGGCAGCATCTCACAACTTTCGTTATGGTTGGAGATGGTCATTTGCCAGTAACAGGTTTTTTGCTTTCCACTTCTTGTATTGTCTTTCTTTGTTAGTGAGACCTCGTGGTTTCTTATTAAGAAAGGGCGTATGGATGAGGAAATAGCTACCCTTAAGATGATGAGGAAATTTGGATCAGAAGCAGAGCTGCAGCTGTTGGCAGGCATGATGGAAAATGAAGGCAAGAGGAAAAGGAAGAAATTATCACACTCGCCCCTTTTACTGCTTAACATAGTGGCTCAAATATTTCAGCAAGTTTTGGGCTTATACTCAATACTATTCTTTGGACCATTACTTCTGCAATCAGCTAGATACACCTTTAATGCCTCCTTTGTAGCTCCGCTCATTGCCGGAGTTGTTCGAGCTGGAGTTGCTAGACTCACTTATCCGAGTTACAGCTTCTTGGACCGACGGAGGACTCTAGTCTCGGCTTGATTTTACCACATGTACTTCTTCATTTATTTCTTATTTAGGTTTTATTTATATATATTAATTTTTATTAACTGAAATATAGCATATGTTACTTGATAAATGTTTTCTCAGATTTTTCAAGGTTTCCTTGTCGGGACTCTTCCGTTTGGTAGAAGACCATATCTATCAAATGAGCCAAAAGAGTACCTATGTTGGCATTAAATTTTTCACCCTCCTCATAGACTGCTAGTTAATTTTCTCGGGGCCTTCTGAGTGGAATGAAGAATCATACGTTGAAGAGATTAGAGCGTTAGGCGCATGCTAGGAGACGAGCATATCTTTGCTCATGTCCTTAATCATGAATCCAGCCGTTTTGCTTCTTCTTTGTGCTCTCAAGGCTTGGATATTCATTCCATTTGCTGCTTTGACACTGGGAATGTGTTTCTTAATTTATAAATTTTTGCCCGAGAGAGTCTTAGATTATCATTTCTATTTAATTGGAATCTACTATAGTAAATTTTATACTAGCATTATGCACATATAATAATTACTAAAATAATTTACGCAAAAATAATACCTTACCCTAGTGGTGCTTTCAAATGGAAAAAAAAAGGCACAAAATATGCACATGACTCATTTGTTAACTTCTTTAATGACTAAAATCTCATATTTACTTTATTATTGTGAAAAACACTCATCAAGTAACATTAATCTCTCTAGCATGCACATAAATTCTCTCAACATAATATTCATAATAAGATCATAATTTTCTATGTTGTGATATAGGAAATATCAGAATATATAATTTTAAATCTTTTGTGCTTAATATTGCATGTCACACTTAAACAAAATCTTGCAGGTGATTCATATTATATTGAGTGAGATTAATGTTGGAAATATGGTGCCAAAGTGGATTTCCCTTACTTATAACTCCATGGTGCTGTGGGGATGTACTAGCACGAAAGCAGTAAACATGGCAGCATCTCAAAACTTCCATTATGGTTGGAGGTGGTCATTTGCAAGTAATAGGTTTTTGGCTTTGCCACATCTTGTATTGTCTTTCTTTGTTAGTGAGACCTCGTGGTTTCTTATTATGAAAGGGCATATGGATGAGGAAATAGTTACCCTTAAGATGATGAGGAAATGTGGAGCAGAAGCAGAGCTGCAGCTGTTGGCAGGCATGATGGAAAATGAAGGCAAGAGGAAAAGGAATAAATTATCACACTCGCCCCTTTTACTGCTTAACATAGTAGCTCAAATATTCCAGTAAGTGTTGGGCCTATACTCAATACTATTTTTTGGACCATTACTTCTGCAATCAGCTAGATACACCTATAATGCCCCCTTTGTAGCTCCGCTCATTGCCAGAGTTGTTCAAGCTGGAGCTGCTGGACTCACTTATCCGAGTTACAACTTCTTGGACCGACGGAGGACTCTAGTCTCGGCTTGACTTTAGCACATGTACTTCTTCATTTCTTTATTAGTTAGGTTTTATTTATATATATCAATTTATATTAACTGAAATATAGCATATGTTACTTGATAAATGTTTTCTCAGATTTTTCAAGGTTTCCTCGCCGGGACTCTTCCGTTTGGCAGAAGACCATATCTATCAAATGAGCCAAAAGAGTGCCTATGTTGGCATGAAATTTTCCACCCCCTTCATAGGCTGCTATTTAATGTTCTCGGGGCCTTCTGGGTGGACTGAAAAATCATACGTTGAAGAGATTAGAGCGTTAGGAGCATGCTGGGAGATGATCATATCTTTGCTCATGTCCTTAATCATGAATCCAGCCGTTTTGCTGCTTCTTTGTGCTCCCAAGGCTTGGATATTCATGCCATTTGCTGCTCTGACACTAGGAATGTGCTTCTTAATTTATAAATTTTTGCCCGAGAGAGACTTAGATTATCATTTCTATTTAATTGGAATCTACTATAGTAAATTTTATACTTGCATTATGCACATATAATAATTACTAAAATAATTTATGCAAAAATAATACCTAACCCTAGCAGTTCTTTCAAATGAAAAAAGATGCACAAAATATGCACATGACTCATTTGTTAACTTCTTTAATGACTAAAATCTCATATTTACTTTATTATTGTGAAAAAAACTCATCAAGTAACATTAATCTCTCTAGCATGCACATAATATTCATAATAAGATCATAATTTTCTATGTTATGAGATAGGAATTATCAGAATAAATAGTTTTAAATCTTTTGTGCTTCATATTGCATGTCACACTTAAACAAAATCTTGCAGGTGATTCATATTATATTGAGTGAGATTAATGTTGGAAATATGGTGCAAAAGTGGATTTCCCATACTTATAACTCCATGGTTCTATGGGGTTGTACTAGCACGAAAGCAGTAAACATGGCAGCATCTCACAACTTCCGTTATGGTTGGAGGAGGTCATTTGCCAGTAACGGGTTTTTGGTTTTGCCACTTCTTGTATTGTCTTTCTTTGTTAGTGAGACCTCATGGTTTCTTATTATGAAAGGGCGTATGCATGAGGAAATAGCTACCCTTAAGATGATGAGGAAATGTGGAGCAGAAGCAGAGCTGCAGCTGTTGGTAGGCTTGATGGAAAATGACTCCAAAAGGAAAAGGAAGAAATTATCACACTCGCCCCTTTTACTGCTTAACATAGTGGCTCAAATATTCCAGCAAGTGTTGGGCTTATACTCAATACTATTCTTTGGACCATTACTTTTGCAATCAGCTAGATACACCTATAATGCCTCATTTGCAGCTCCGCTCATTGCCGGAGTTATTCGAGCTGGAGTTGCTGGACTCATTTATCCGAGTTACATCTTCTTGGACCGACGGAAGACTCTAGTCTCGGCATGTTTAGTCATGATTTTAGCACATGTACTTCTTCATTTCATTCTTATTTAGGGTTTCTTTGTATATATCATTTTTTATTTATTGAAATATAGCATATGTAACTTGATATTAGTTTTCTCAGATTTTTTCAGGTTTCCTTGCTGGGTCTCTTCCGTTTGATTGAAGACCATATCTTTCAATTGAGCCAAAAGAGTGCCTGTGTTGGCATGGAATTTTCCATACCCCTCATAGGCGGCTATTCAATGTTCTTGGGGCCTTCTGAGTGGACTGAAGAATCATACGTTGAAGAGATTAGAGCGTTAGGCGCATGCTGGGAGGCGATCAAATATTTGCTCATGTCCCTAATCATGAATCCAGCCGTTTCGCCGCTTTTTTGTGCTCTCAAGGCTTGGATATTTATGCCATTTTGCTGCTCTGAAACTGGAATGTCCTTCTCGATTTATAAATTTTTGCCCGAGAGAGATTTTGATTTTCTTTTCTATTTAAGTGGAATCTACTATGGTAAATTTTATACTAGCATTATGCACATATTATCATTACTGAAATAATTTACGCAAAAATAATACCTCACCCTAACAGTGCTTTCAAATGTAAAAAGATGCATAAAATATGCGCATGACTCATTTCTTAACTTCTTTAAGGACTAAAATCGCATATTTAATTTATTGTTGTGAAAAAAACTCATCAAGTAACATTAATCTCTCTTGTATGCACATAAATTCTCTCTATATAATATTCGTAATAAGATTAGAATTTTCTATGTTTTGAGATAGGAAATATCAGAATATATAATTTTAAATTTTTTCTCCTTCATATTGCGTGTCATACTTAAAAACCTTACAATCTTACAGGTGATTCATATTATATTAAGTGAGATTAATGTTGGAATAAGGTGACAGAGTGGATTTACCCTACTTATAACTCCATGGTGTTATGGGGAAGTACTAGCACGAAAGCAGTAAATATGGCAGCATCTCACAACTTCCGTTATGGTTGGAGATGGTCATTTGCCTGTAGCAGGTTTTTGGCTTTTTCACTTCTTGTATTGTCTTTCTTTCTTAGTGAGAGCTCGTGGTTTCTTATTAAGAAAGGGAGTATGGATGAGGAAATATATACCCTTAAGATGATGAGGAAATGTGAAGCAGAAGAAGACCTGCAGTTGTTGGCAGGCATGATGGAAAATGAATGCAAGAGGAAAAGGAAGAAATTATTACACTCGCTCCTTTTACTGCTTAACATAGTGGCTCCATTTTTCCAGCAAGTGTTGGGCTTAGACTCATTACAATTCTTTGGACCATTACTTCTGCAATGAGCTAGATACACCTATAATGCCTCATTTGCCGCTCCGCTCATTGCCGGAGTTGTTCGAGCTGAAGTTGCTGGACTCACTTATCCGAGTTATAGCTTCTTCAGCCGACGGAGGAATCTACTCTCGGCATGTTTAGTCATGATTTTAGCACATGTACTTATTCATTTCTTTCTTATTTAGGTTTTCTTTGTATATATCAATTTTTATTAACGAAAATATAGCATATGTAACTTGATATTAGTTTTCTCAGATTTTTCCAGGTTTCCTTGCTGGGTCTCTTCCGTTTGGTAAAAGACCATATCTTTCAACTGAGCCAGAAGAGTGCCTGTGTTGGCATGGAATTTTCCATACCCCTCATAGGCTGCTATTCAATATTCTCGGGGCCTTCTGAGTGGACTGAAGAATAATACGCTGAAGAGATTAGAGCGTTAAGCGCATGCTGGGAGACGATCAAATATTTGCTCATGTTCCTAATCATGAATCCAGCCATTTCGCCGCTCCTTTATGCTCTCAAGGCTTGGATATTCATGCCATTTGCTTCTCTGACACTGGGAATGTCCTTCTCGATTTATAAATTTTTGTCCGAGAGAGACTTTGATTTTATTTTCTATTTAAGTGGAATCTACAATAGTAAATTTTATACTAACATTATGCACATATTATCATTACTAAAATAATTTACGCAAAAATAATACCTCACCCTATCAATACTTTCAAATGGACAAAGAGGCACAAAATATGCACATGACTCATTTCTTAACTTCTTTAAGAACTAAAATCTGATATTTACTTTATTGTTATGAGAAAAACTCATCAAGTAACATTAATCTCTCTAGCATGCACATAAATTCTCTTAATATAATATTCGTAATAAGATCTTAATTTTCTATGTTGTGAGATAGAATATATCAAAATATATAGTTTTCAATCTTTTATCCTTCATATTACATGTCACACTTAAACAATTTACAATCTTGCAGATGATTCATATTATATTGAGTGAGATTAATGTTGGAAATAAGGTGACAAAATGTATTTCCCTTACTTAAAACTCCTTGGTGCTATGGGAAAGTACTAGCACGAAAGCAGTAAATATGGCAGCATCTCACAACTTCCGTTATGGTTGGACAACTTCCGTTATGGTTGGAGATGGTCATTTGCCTGTAGCAGGTTTTTGGATTTTCCACTTCTTGTATTGTCTTTCTTTCTTAGTGATACCTCATGGTTTCTTATTAAGAAAGGGCCTATGGATGAGTAAATAGCTACCCTTAAGATGATAAGAAAATGTGGAGCGGAGGAAGAGTTGGAGTTGTAGGCAGGCATGATGGAAAATGAATGCAAGAGGAAAAGGAAGAAATTATCACACTCGCACCTTTTAATGCTTAACATAGTGGCTCAAATTTCCCAGCAAGTTGGGCTTAGACTTAACACTATTCTTTGGACCATTACTTCTGCAATGAGCTAGATACACCTATAATGCCTCATTTGTCGCTCTGCTCATTGCCGGAGTTGTTCGAGCTGGAGTTGCTGGACTCACTTATCCGAGTTATAGCTTCTTCGGCCGATGGAGTAATCTAGTCTCGGCACGTTTAGTCATGATTTTAGCACATGTACTTCTTCATTTATTTCTTATTTAGGTTTTCTTTGTATATATCAAATTTTATTAACCAAAATATAGCATATGTAACTTGATATTAGTTTTCTCAGATTTTTTCAGGTTTCCTTGTTGGGTCTCTTCCGTTTGGTAGAAGACCATATCTTTCAAATGATCTAAAAGAGTGCCTATGTTGTCATGAAATTTTCCATACCCCTCATAGGCTGCTATTCAATGCTCTCTGGGCATTCTGAGTGGACTGAAGAATCATACGTTGAAGAGATTAGAGCGTTAGGTGCATGCTGGGAGACGATCATATATTTGCTCATGTCCCTAATCATGAATCCAGCCGTTTTGCTGCTCCTTTCTGCTATCAAGGCTTGGATATTCGTGCCATTTGCTGCTCTGACACTAGGAATGTGCTTCTCAATTTATAATTTTTTACCCGAGAGAGACTTTGATTTTCTTTTCTATTTAAGTGGAATCTACTATAGTAAATATTATACTAGCATTATGCACAAATTATCATTACTAAAATAATTTACGCAAAAATAATACCTCACCCAGCAGTGCTTTCAAATGAAAACAAATGCACAAAATATGCACATGACTCATTTCTTAACTTCTTCAAGGACTAAAATCTCATATTTACTTTATTGTTGTTAAAAGAACTCATCATGTAACATTAATCTCTCTTGTATGCACATAAATTCTCTCAATATAATATTCGTAAAAAGATCATAATTTTCTATGTTGTAAGATTGGAAATATCAGAATATATAATTTTAAATCTTTTGTGCTTCATATTGCATGTCATACTTAAAAACGTTACAATCTTGCAGGTGATTCATATTATAATGAGTGAGATTAATGTTGGAAATATGGCGCTATGGGGAAGTACTAGCACGAAAGTAGTAAACATGGCAGCATCTCACAACTTCCGTTATGGTTGGAGATGGTCATTTGCCTGTAGCAGGTTTTTGGCTTTTTCACTTCTTGCATTGTCTTCTGTAATGACCCGACCTGTCATTTTGAGTACTACAATCCCATTTCCCCATTTACTGCTCAAATTGGGCTTTACAGTTGTTGTGTGACTTTTCGGGGCAATTGGTTCGCGTCCGGTGAGGTTTTGGAATGAATTGGAACACTTAGTTCCAAGGTTTAAAACTTAAGTTAAAATAGTGACCGAACGCAGACTTATGAGTAAACGACCTCGGATTTGAATTTTGATGATTTCAATAGCTCCGTTTGGTGATTTTGGACTTAGGAGCATGTCCGAAAAATTATTTGGAGGTCCGTTGAGGAATTAGGCTTGAAATGCCAAAAGTTTAATTTTTGAAAAGTTTGACCGGGGGGTTGACTTTTTGATATCGAGGTCGGAATCCAATTCTGGAAATTGGAATAGGTCCGTTATGTCACTTGTGTGCAAAATTTGAGGTCAATTGGACGCGAATTGATAGGTTCCAGAGTCGTAGGTAGAAACTAGACATTTCAAAGTTCATTATGCTTGAATTGGGGTGTAATTCATAGTTTTAGCATTGTTTGAGGTGATTTGAGGGTTCGACTAAGTTCGTATGATGTTTTAGGACTTGTTGGTATATTTGATTGAGGTCCCGAAGGGCTCGGGTGAGTTTTGGATGGTTAACGGATCATTTTTGGCTTTGGTGAGATTGCTGATATCTAATCCTGCATTTTTCGGATTTTCTCTTTCGCGTTCGCGAGTGGGCCCTCACGTTCGTGAAGAGGAATTTGTGGTAGGCAGGATTTACTCTTCGCGTTCGCGAGGGGGTCTCGCGTTCGCGAAGAGAAGCTGGGTTGTGCATCGCGTTTGCGTATGGGGTATCGCGTTCGCAAAGGAAAACATAGTGCGCATGGGTTTTTGCCTTCGCGTTCGCGAAGGGAAGCTCGCATTCGAGAAGAAGGGCTTCGTAAAGCATCGGGTTCGCGAACAGTGTCTCGCGTTTGCGAAGAACAAATGTTGGGAAGCACATTTTGTGCTTCACGAACACGAGAGACCTGTCGCATTCGCGAAGAAGAGAGGTCTGGACAGAAAGTTTAAGTTCAGAAAATGGGACTTCGTCCTATTTTCCATTTTTAACGATTTGGAGCTCGGATTGAAGCGATTTTTGAGAGATTTTCAGAGAAAATAATGGAGTAAGTGTTCTTAACTCAATATTGGTTAAATTACCCGAATCCATGGTTTTTTTAATATTTAATTGGTGAATTAAGTTGGAAAATTGTGAAAACCCTCTTGGTTTAATTTGGAGATTTGAGGGTCGAGTTGATGTCGGATTTGAGTAAAATTTATATTGTTGGACTCGTGGTTGAATGGGCATTAATAGTTTGTAACTTTCGTCGGATTTGAGACGTGGGCCCCACGGGTGATTTTTGGGGCGCAATTTCGGATTTTTGAAAAATATTAGTGTTTTTGATATGGAATTAATTCCTATAATTTTTGTGGGCTGAATCAAATTGTTTTGACTAGATTCGAACCGTTTGGACGTTGATACGTGCATAATGGGATTTCTAGAGCATTGTTTAGCTTGCTCGGCATTGGATTTGGCTTGTTCGAGGTAAGTAACTCTTCTAATCTTGGAGTTGAGGGTATGAACCCTGAATTTTGTGAATTATTGGGAGGTGACGCACATGTTAGGTGACGGACGTGTGGGCGTGCACTATAAAAATTGTAACATAATTGTTTATGTGAAAAGTTATAGTTAAATAACCTTGATATTTTCCATGCGGTTTTATGTGTTAAAGAAATTGAGCTGAAAAGCATATTAAAAATTATGTTGAGGCTATGTGCCAGTATTATTGGGACCCACAGAGGTCATATTGCTGTGAAATATTGTGTTAAATTGTAAATTCATACTCAGTCATAATCATTTCATTGCATATCATAACTCAGTTTTATGACTCTATTTTGATGCATACAAATGTTTTGGGCCGAATGCCCTGTTTTACTGAAATGACCGAGTGGCTTGAGAGGTTTATGACTGAGCGAGGCCGAGGGCCTGATTTGTGAGGATATTTACGGGATTGGGCTGCACGCCGCAGCATGTTGATTTCGGCCAAGGGCCTGATTGTGAGGATGAGTGTGGATCAGGGCTGCCCGCCTGCAGCATACTTTATTATTATAGCACGTGAGTTGTCCATGCAGCACGTGAGTTGTCCATGCAGCACTTGAGTTGTCCGTGCAGATTATAGAGCTTGGCCTGAAGGAGTCCCTCCGGAGTCTGTACACACCCCCAGTGAGCGCAGGTACCTACTGAGTGCGAGTGCCGAGTGCTGAGTGACTGGGAGGCATGAGTGATTGTAAGGTATACCCAAGTGGCAAGAGTGATTGTGAGGCATGCCCGAGTGGCAAGAGTGATTGTGAGGTATGCCCGAGTGACACGAGTGACTGTGAGGTTTGCCCGAGCGGCTGTATATGAGTGATATTCTGCCCGAGGGCATGTTTATAATTTTATCACTGAGTTGCATCGCATTGGCATGCACACATGACATACATGCATAGAGATGTATTTTTTCTCATGCTGTACAACTTCACATCATTCATGATTTCTCACACATTTTGACAGATGGGAATAGTGATGCATTTATTTTACACGGGTTATCCGGAAGGAAAAATGAAACATATTATTTATTATTGAGAAGATTTTTTGGAGAAATTTATTTTTTTCAAACTATTCATATTATTGGCAACTTCGGCAAACGATTTAGGTTTTCACTGATGTATTTGAAAGAAAGAACTACTATTTGTTTTTTGTTTTTTTTTTAAATCATTACTTGGCTGA